TATGCTCAGTATATGGCAAGAAATACGAAGTACAGGTCTGGATTCATGGAACAGCTAACATGGCAAAGACTGTGACTTTTTAGGAGTGGCTAATGGACTTACTTTGAAACTATTCTTTAAACCTCCCATTCAGCAGAAAACCTGAAGATATGGTCAATTTTAAGTATGTACTCTGTTCCACAAATTTCAGTGAGACACTAGCAAAAGCTTATGTGCTTTTCCTGAAAGCCAGTACACATCAGCATAAGTTTGTGCATCTTGATTCACAGACTACTTTAGGCTTGGTTTCAAGGCTAACTAGGATTAACTGTATGCAAGTGAAATGGTACCACCCATGTCAACAGTAAAAATTGGAGTACAGCAGAAAAGAATCAGAAACAAAGACTCTTTGGCAAAGAATTTTTCCTGTGTGGGCCAGAAAAGTGCTATTCCCTAATGAGTAAGGCAGAACTCATGTTCTGCACCTTTAGGTGGCAGAGTAAGCAGTCTTGAAGGCAGTACTTCACCTGTTTGTGGAAAATGAGCTCTTTTTAAAAAAAAATGTAGGTAGACAGTAAATGAGCCATTGCTCACAAGTGTAACAACACAAAAGGTCTATTCTTACTACATTATGGCAGTTGATGGTGGAGGGGTGCAAAACCAGCAAGTACTATATTCAAGAAAACTTCGTAATGTCATACATCTACTTTAACAGTATTTGCGGTGTCTGCTTTACAGAAATGTTTCTATGAGTAAAGTTTTATTTTCAAAAGTTTTGCAAATACTTATGTAAATATTTGGATATCAGACGTGTGCAAATCTGTGCTAGGAGTTCCCATTCATACAGGAGGTATTTTATAGCCATCTTGGAACAACCTCCTGGCAGGTACATAACTCTCTCTAGGAGAAGACTCAAAAATAGGTGGAGCCAACAGTCTTCAAGAAAGGCTCGGAAGTAATTATGTTTGCAATAACTATCACTCAATAATGTTGAGAAAGGAATAAATAAATAATGATTAAATTCATGCAAGGGCTAAGGGAATCAATTGATGCAATACATTTGTTTTGACAAGCAGTTCATTCAGCTCTAAAATGATCCTAAATTTCCTAGCTGGTCATCAGATTTTCCAAATCTAATAATTTTTTTTTAATTTTAATTTTTTTTTAACACTTCTCTCAATTTTAACAGCAATGAAAATACTACTGAAATTCAGGTGTCCAAAACTATACTATGTGGGGTTTTTTTGTGATGTGAAGTCTTGCAAGTCCTAATGTATTTTTTATAAAACCCTGTTTAAAAATTCAGTACAAATAAAAGTGGCTCAAATCTACTTCTCTATGGAAATGTAGAAATAACTGGTAAGAACTTAAAATTAGGAAGAACTACAGCCCTCAAGAATTCAGACCTTTCACTCCCATTTTCCCAGAATCATTCAATTTCAGACTAAAGTAAGTACAAACATTAGTAGTAATGTGATATGCTGCCATGTTAAAAATGTGCAGTATGCAAAATCACTACCCTCCTGAAAAAAAAGGCTATGAAAAATTTAGGTTTTACTGAGGAAAAAATACTCTCATAATAGCTATAGAATTTCAAATGTCTGCAAGGCAGATACTACCCTACTACAACACCACATCTCCGGTATTATGACTTTCCCCTATCATTCTACTACCTGAGTGATGTCAGTGTAAATTCAGGCACCATTAGTAAATTTTTGACCAAACATATACACAGCACTGACAAAGGAGTAAACAACCCTTCAGCTTACCAGTATATGTAAAAAAGACACTGACAAAATGGAAAATAATATTTTTTTATGATAAATTAATCCTATTATTTCCTCATTGCCCCGGAAAGCGAAAAGCTAGACACTATTTACTCATCAATCCTTTATTCTTTTTTTAAGGTTTCCTTTTACTGCAATTCAGCACTGTTTACTTTGTAAGTAAGAAAATGGTAAAACTAAGTAGTCATGGAAGAATCCTCAATGCCTGTGTCCCTTGCCTTCTCTCTCCCTGCGCTTTAACTCTTCTTTGTAGCAGTATGAACAGTAATTTTCAGTCTCAGGACGACCATAAAAGGAACAGTTCTCCTTCTTACAGCGGTTCTGCTGGATGGAATATATTGGGCAAACTGTGCTTCTGCCTTGATTTTTATCATTGTTCAACCAGGTCTGAGGAGCATCCTCATCAGCATATTCTAAGCAGTCTCTAATATCACCAGTATTGAATCCATTTGTGTATGTCTGAGACTTGTGTTCAGTAGGCATGGCATAGCTCAGCGATTCCACTGTGTTCACTGTACGGATACCGGATATCCGGGCTGGGCTATAGCTTTGAGAAGACAGTGATCTGTTTTGTTGGGGATAGGTGGCACAGGTTTTTAAGGTGCCAACCACTGGCTTGTAGGTATCATCTTGGAAGCTCGATGGCTTGGAGTTGACATCATGCAAATGGATGACACTTTGTCTTTGAACAGGTGGCGTATGGCTATAGTGGGCAGATACCGGAATGGGTCCGCTTTTCTTAGCACCATTACTAGGTGAAGAAAATGGCCCAGGAGTGGGACTAGTGCGACCTTTAAATTTTAAAACCAGTTGAGTTGTATGGCTTTGAGGCAAGACGGGTGATGCCCTATCCTGAGGAGATGTTTCTAATTTTTCTTTTGAATATGCTTCTGGCTCCAGTTTCCTACTAGATGACCCATTCAGTGCAGCCTTTTTCTCAGCATCCTTTCTTTTCTGTTCCTGTTCTGCATTGAAACGCTCCTGTGCACTGGTCAGGTAATAGCCTATCATCTCCTCGTGGAACTGATGCCTATGACTGGTCAAAAGAAGGCCAGCAAAAATAAACTTTCGTTCACCCTGCATGGCAGCTCTCAAAATATTTAGGCTGAGTTTCACGTCAGTGCTGTACTTCCATGGGTCAGACTGCTTGTCAGAGAAGGCTTTAGTGTTCATCTTTTCAATGGGTGAGTTGCTAGCTCTGTCAGTCGGAGATGGAGTGGTCTTTTCAGATGGAGAAGTGCTCGCAGACTGTCCAGATTCCTCTTTGCTCCCTTTTCGAGACTTAGACTTCTTCTCTTTGACCTTCTCTACTGTGTCACCATTTTTTCCATTCCCTGAATTGGCTCTGCTCATTTTGCCATGCACCAGGCCTCCAAGACCACCCATATTCTTTTTCAGTTTAATTCCCAAGGTTTTACTGAGGCTTCCTATTTTATTGGCAACTGAATCCGTCCTGGTTTTGTCTTTATCTTTCCTCTGTTTGTCCTTTTCTTTTTCTTTACTGTTTTTGCCATTATTGCCGTTGGAATTACTACAGATGGAATCTCGGTCCGAGTCCATTGAGTCAGCCAGAGACTGAACGTCTTCCCCAGCTGAAGCTGTAGGGGATTCTGGTTGAGCCAAAGGGGCCTGCTATGGAAAAGTAATTATAATTAGATGCAGCAAAATCAGTTTCATACAGGGACTTGGTGCAAAAAAATCCCAAATCCAATATAGATTTTGACATTGATTTTAAATGTACTTTTTAATTTATGCACTGACATTTTAGACTGGTTTCTTCACCAAATAAAGCTTATTTGGCTGTGCTGACTATGTATCTTGCTTGTTCCTACAGTAGCTTTTGGCTCATTTCAAGCACATTTGTAGAATAGAGGTCAGTCATTCAGAGGGTCTGTGAAAATCAGTATCTGAATAATGTAGAGATGCGAGTTAGCGCTCCTGTCGAGGGGAAGGCTGCAGCGCAACCTCCCTGCTTGTGCTGACCAGTGGAGTGGCTGGCCAGCATACAGAGATCAGCCATTCAGTAGGAAGCACCTACAATACAGGCTGCCTCTCAGCCAGGGGGGGAGACAGAGAGCATGGAAAGAAACTGATAATATTGTGATGGAAGGGAAATGAGGTTCTGCTGAAAGCTGTGAGGGGGATGCAGCACACAAACCTGTATGTAGCAACATTTCAAAATTCGTTATGTTCAAAACCCAACTTATTTAAATTGATTTCTTCATTGTTCAGGTCTCTGGTGCACGAAAATCAAAGGTACAATGCACCAGAGCTAAACATCTATTAAACATTAAACTTAAGCAAGTAGACTGAGGAATACAATGAGGTATATTCATTCTTATTAGAAATACAATGCAGATAAAACCGGTGTCAGAAGTCTGAGTTCCAATTTATATTTTAGGTAAGGTGATAAAACATCTTTCTTGAAAATGCAATAACGAGGATCCTAGGATACTTTAAAATGTGGCTCTGTTCATTTACTCCTGCAAAACTTCGTCTTGCTGTCAGGCACCATGAAGCTAAAATCTGCTAGAGATAAATATGAAACATTTAACTAACCATAATGATTTGGGGGCGGGGGGGGAAGCTCTGGAGATGTATATATACTTCCAGTATAGAAATGCATGCCTGCTTCTTGTTCCTGGGTACTTAAATGTCCTCTCTCTCTCTGGAATCTGAAGTCGGGAGCAGACCTGTTACCCCACTTGGCAAAGGAGGAAATGAGTGCTAAAGTGACCTGACCATGCTCATGTGGCAAGTGTGAAGCAGGGAGAGGTAACCCAGGTCCCACAAGTTTCAGGATCACAGCTTACAACTACAGGACCATTTTGGCTCTCCTTTTTCTGATGTGGTAGCTACCACTGTAGAAAAATGGGTTTTTCCCCTCTTGTAGCTTGTTAAACACCTTCTCTTTTTGTGTTCTGTTCCTCCTTTCAAATCCCATCTGTGTAGGCTGTTTAAATCACCTCCATCCTCTCCTAGCAACGTTTTGCCTCCAGACTAACCCCTCAATCTATTCAATGTAATTTGCAGAGAAATTTGCAGCTGACTAGGTGCCAGCTGGGCATGGTTCTAACATAGCTTTCTGAAAGAACCAGGCTCCAGTTCAGCACCAGTCTGTGGCCTTTTGTCAGCCACTCTGAACTGGGAGCTGTCCAGGGGTGCAAATGTATTCTCAGAAAGAGAAAGGACTTGGTATTGGTGACCTAACAGTGGCGTTAGGAGAGCAAGCCAAAGTTCTGAGAAAACAATGGTGAGAAAAGGTCTATTTTAAGGTTTTTCTGAACTACACTGACTACTGAAATAAGTAACAGAAAGATTAAGCCTGAAAATACATTTCAGAACACAGAGTATGAGCTGCAAAAATATACAAGCAACTGTGTTATTAAAACAAATAACTAGAAAAATCTACAAGCCTGATTGCAATGACAATGAGCCATGAGTGACTTGACCCTGCTGCTAGGACACTTAGGTGTTTCCAGGCAGCTGGCCAGTCCAGGCAGCCTACCCTACACAACACCCTGTCGTGCCTTCTATCTCTCATCTTGTTTAGACCCAGGGGGAAGTTTACCTTACCCGTGTCTCAGATGGTATGCGTATCCATGTTACATTCATATAGCTGTGTAGAAGATTAAGCTTTGCCTCAAGAGACAGAATCAAACTAAGGATGAAAAAAGAAGGGAACAAACAGTCAAAAAGCCTGAAAGAAAAAGCAGTACTTCTTAACAGGGAGAGATGTAACAGCAGCCTGAATTGTGACTATCAGCTGGAGACCCACCCATGTCTTCTCCCATGTAAAAGAGAACATGAACAAAGCCCTCTCTGTTAGCAGTTCTCCCAATACTTCAAGCAGGTATGGCTCAAGGCATTTTACTGCTTAACGCTAAAGTTACAGAAAGGTCTTACTTGGCCAGCCTGGTGTTATCATTGTCATCTTTTCCCCACTCCCAGTCCTTCCCAGGATCGACCGCAAAGTGCAAAGGCAGTAACTTGTGTTCAGAGTCAGTCAGGGGGATCACCGCTGAAGTAGAGAAGAAACAAGGATTGGGGTGGGGGGAACAAAAACGACAAAAAAAAAGATTTAGCTGTGAAAAGCAGCATAACTGGTTAAAGAAGAAGGGCAGAATTTGAGTATGCTGCAGAATTGTCTCATCCAGAGCACCAGAAATGATTTATACTGGGCTCCATTTCCCTATTTTGATGTTTGTGCAATAGAAGAGGAGGGAGAGATTAATACGCTGATTGCTCATGGAGTGAAAGATAGTCACCTGTGGAGGAGGGGAGACCTCTGGGAGAACATCATTGCCATTTTGTAATGCAGTAGAGCCATTAGAATAGCAGAAAGCAAAAAAAGTTGAAATATTCCTGCCTGTCTCACACAGATGCACATACTTGTTAATTATTTTGTCTTTTCAGTTTAGTACCTTTTTGTTTTCCACTGTCAAAGAAACAAAAATATATTGATAACAGCATAAAGAAACAAAGCAAAACGCAATTACAGTGATTTTGGACTCAAACTGTGAATTAACATAATTGAGGGGCATAGATCAACATATATATGGGTTAAGAGGTCAGTTTGAGGCCTGTCTTGAGCATAGAGAAAACACCATTACTGCTGTTATATCCCAGCATTCCTGTCTAGCTGTTTTGGCTCTTCTGTCCTTTCCCCTCTCTGCTGGGGCTCTGCCTTCTGACACAGATCTTAATGACTCTGCTTTACACTCAGCATGCAGGGACTGCACTCTCATTTTACTGAGTGTCTATCATTCATCACCAGCAACAAACTAAGAGAAAAACACTGTCAGCTTTAATTAAAGCCAGCAATTTGCTTCCATTTCATTAGAAAAAAAAGTAAAAGCTGCTGAGGGACTGGGTGGGATCGTCAGCATGATGCAGGTCACTACTGCTCCTCTGACAACCAATCAAGGAATTTAATTTTCTATACTAAAACCCTCAAGGACTTTGCCTAGGTATTCATTCCAGCAAAGCCAAGGGGCAAAGAAACCTGGAGAAATCACCCAAACATCATGGCACTGAATTTTTGAAAATCGATTGCACTTATTGGTCATATGTTTATAGTATTTTCTGCAGTTAAGAAAACATATGTTGTCAAAACAAAGGTAGAGCATTTTTGGTTAAATATTGTTCCTCACCTAGCAGAATGCAGGAAATTTAATCTGCATTTTAGAGTAACACAGTGAAGTCAGTATTTGGTTCAGACAGTTAGACAACAACTGCAGAAAGTATATATATTTTTTCATCTTTGCAGACTGGAAATAAAAAGGTCAAACCTCTACAAATTTCATGGAAATGTTGCCCCCTATTGCTTATAGTAGGTAATTCTTGAAATATTTTCCCCGTATTAACTGCAAATACAGTATAGAACAGCTGGAGATTAATCAACTTCAGTTGCAGATACTGCTGTAAGATGCAAGCACAGAAATTAATATAGTAAGAGAATTTAGCTCCTTAAAGAAACTCAGAGTGAATAAGAAGCAGAAAGTCTAAGTCTACATTTCAAAAATACACTGTAAAGCAAGCTACTGAAGCACAAGAACCTAAGAAATGTACAGCAGAGGTGACAACTGAATACAATTTTTAACACTCATTGGTGTAATATGAGGGCTTACCCTGCTGCATTCAATGAAAATACTGCAACAAAGGGGCTGAAATAACTGAGAATGCAATTAACCGATCATGTTTCCCAAGGAAAACACACATTCTGCCAATTAACTGAATTACTAGCAGGTACTGACTGGATTTACAATTGACCTTACAGTGCAATATATCAACTGTTTAAAGGAAGAAGGCAACTTAGAAAAGAGCAGCATTATAAGTTTACAACACAACACTTCCACTGCTGCTAGCACCTGACCTTATACAGGTACAGCCTGGTAGAGAACTGGGAATGTGATCCTGAGGCAGGTGATGTTGGGAAGCCTGGACCAAAGAACTGTCAGAGTTTTGAATCAGTCTCTTTGGGATGTAAACCTCAAAAAGTAAATTTGAGTCTCCTTTCTTAAGACAGCTTGAAACTAACTAGCTTTCACATAGTTCAATAAATAATCATTTTTATAAAAAAAATTTAAAGGAATCCTTTTTAAAGCTGGCTGTTTCTACTGATACTGAAAATACACCTAATAAAAATGTTTAGTGATACTCAATTTTATTAAAATCTTAATATCTAAGTACAAAACAAAGCTTAGAGCTGATTGTCTATAGCATGTCACTATTGTCTTAACTAATGCACACATTATGACACATACTGTCTCCATCTTCATACAGAATTTGTTAACTATTATTTTTCAAACTCTGAGTTGAATGGAAATTGTATACTCATTCTACGGGATAGTCTGGGGTTGGTATGAAGCACTACCATCTTCATGCAAAAAGTATCTGCTAAAGTAATGGAGTTCTAAAATTCTATCATCTTCACTGCAAGAGATTTCCTCTCTTTCAGCTAATTCTGTTTGATAGCTGGGGTTTCTTGTAGGATTTCCCGACGTTCCTGACAGAAGAGTATTTTAATGTTAGGACTGCAAGCAGGATCCATCACATTCATATCTAAAGCAAACCCAACAGATTCTAGCATCTTCCTGATGCCCAGCCACATCAGAGAGTTTGCAACTTTGGTGCGGTTGTTTGGTTACACTTGGTTTTGGATGCTCTCCAGCTGAAACCACACTATTTGAAACACAGTCTACAAGTCCTAATGCCAGCAGATGGGATACATCAAAAGTAACAGCAGCTATTTCGTCCACGGCAGTTTTAAGACACACAGTGAGGACTTTCATGCCATTCCACAGTTGGGTGTATTGCCTTCTGTGCTGTGAAGTCACAGTGTTTCCCAGCACTCATATTCATGCCTCAAGTGTTATTAATCTTCTAGAAAGAAGAACACTTCAGCTATTTCTGAAAACACTAGTAAAATAAAATGCTGACACAGATACTGACATACTGCTGTTAAAAACCACTGTCACACCTCTCACACTTGTTATTGCAAACTGATTGTGGGCAGCCATTTCACTGCTAACTGGCTGACAAAATATGGGAGTGTGGGAAACTAAGTTCAACGAAGCAGTCTTAGGGGCAGTTGAGATCTGGTCTTTCTTTTCCGTGAACAAAGATACAAAACACCTGAATAAATATAGCCTGAATGAATAAAAAAGTATTTATAGGTTTTTAGTCAGACGTTGTGGATTTCAAAACAAGAGGGCCTTCGGTGACCATCAGAATGCCAGCTATGCGCTGGTAAAAAGAAGACACGTCAAAATGTGTTCTAAATCCTCTCCAGACAAGAGGATGTTAGCATGTTTTCTCTCTTTATATACCTTTATAGTAGTGCTCAAAATGATCTGATAAATGACTATATGCCAAAGCAGAACTTCAGGCATTCACATCAGCATTTATTTGACCACACATATTTCACAAATATAGGGCATACCGTCTCCTCCACAAGACAGCTGCTCAGCAGCTTAAACATGTACGTACATGCAGTAGTTCAGACAACTTCAGATGCTACTCCTGACATCCGGCTACATGCTTAGAGTATAAATACTGTAAGTTATGAACAGCCTCGGCTATCAGAGATGCTCCTTTTAAGAAGCTGTAGCTCTAAGCTCTCAGCTGCATTCTGATAGTTCAAAATCTGGCCATGTACTGTAGCACCCGTGCCATTGTTTCCTGACTCCTAATAATTGTGGCTCTCCCTTCCTCGATGCCAAAGCTGCCAACATCTCTATGCTGACAAGGTACAAAAATTAGGCATTATGAGAGCATCCTTGTGCCAATCTATTTCCTGTCATGGCATTTGAAGAACAATAGCAATGCTGTGTTAGCTGTTAGACTGCTGCAGTCTCTAACAGCAACCAGCTTGGCAGCTGAAAGCTAAAGCATTCCCTTCATCCCAGACTTAATGCCAAGTGCTCTCTGCTGCTCCACAGAATTGAAGCCTGTGTATTCAAGGCCCTGCAGTAAAACATGTAAAATCAGATCATACAAAACAAATACTATTTTGATTCAACAACCCTTGTAATTAACCTGGATGAACTTATACATGAACAAAGCATATATTTAATGCTACTGATACTGTGATGGATATTTGGTAGCTTTTTCTCTTCCAGCACCTCTCCTGTGCGACTACAGGTGTAGGAAAATCCTACAGAAAGACAGTTTCTAACCACAATAAGTATATTTAACATTATTGCTAGCACTTGTGTGAAAAATCAAATACATTACCTTGTTATCAAACCCAAGATCTTGCAGTGTGTAATTAAATATGGCTTGTAATATTAGGAATATTTCAGTAGGTGGCACAAGTTGTATCACTGAATACTTTAACACATACTGAGAGGTGGGGTCAGAGCAGCTGAACAGTAGTTTCCCCTCACTACCTTTTGTGAATCCTGTCGCTTAGAGGATGCCACAATAGCAAAAGGTTTGGTGAGTGGCGGTTACCCTATCTGCAAAGTTATTGCAGAGATAGTTAAGTTCTGTATATTCAATCAAATTATTTACGCACATAGGCTCTTGTAAGACCTGTGATAATGAAGTATTGTATGAAGGCAGATAGACGTGCCTGAAATAAATGAGGTTACTGTCAGTCTACTGATACTATCCTGATCCCAATTGTTAGAAAGGAAGAAATGGACTCTGCCTACTCCAGAAATTGTCTTGTTTTGCCACCAACAGAACTCAGACCTAAAAAGGATCAAGACCAAAGACATGGAGGCACATTCTACAACTATACAATTCTACAATTTGTAACATAGACATACATGCAGGAGCTGCTAACTTAATAGCATGCTGACATTACAGTCCTGGCTGCAGCATATCATCAGCAACCACCAACAGTGAAACAGTATCCTTAAATAGGGTCTCCAAAATTCTATCTTCATTCATATCACATTATTGCATTAAAATGGTATGAATTTGCTTTGCAGACTTTTCATTTCTCACAAGGTGTTTCCATCATACCTCAGTGTATTGCTTTGGAAATGGTTCCTATGTGAAAAGCATTTTCCTAAGGGTCGCTCTTCTACAGATTGAGGGCTAGAAGGCAGCTGCATGTCCCAGCGTATAATGCAAAGGCCAGACCTATTGCCAAGCACCGACCTACAAATCCCTGAAATAGCTATGTGCCACTGAAGGCTGAATAGTTGGACTGGATTGATTTTCCCATTGAATATCTGACATCTAGATCAACCTTTTTTTTCATTACTGTTTTATGATTCAGCCTCCTCTTCACCAACACAAAGTTTGCCAATACCACAGGCAACCCTTTGTAGAGTGTTTCCCATCTCACACAAGCTCATGTAAAAAACTCTCCGCTCCTTCCAAGAAGGATGACTTAACTAGTTGTCAAATTCTTGCATGAAGATGTCTACAACAAAGTCTGTTATTCAAGAGTTTCTTTCCCCTTTGCATCATTTTAATGAACGTCTTTCTCTCTACTTCACACAGCTGCAGCATGTCGACTGTCTCATAAGCATGGAAAATGCCTAATACATCCAAAATCAGATGGGTTAGGGAATTAAATGAAAGATATTTAGTTGCCTCTAAACTACCCTCTACGAAGGAGGACTAAATGAAATTCACTCAGCAGATCTCAACAACCAGCACACATTCCATGTTTACTTTACAGGTATATGCATTCATAAGGGATTTAAAACACCTCTGCAGTGTCATCAGGCAAAAAAAAGGAGGACTTATACTAACAGCAAAACTCCACTGAATTTTTCTAAAGCCTCACCATGTTTTTGGCAAAACGCTTTTCCCTTCCTCACAAAAGGAGCAAAGACAGATAGAAGTTCATCTCACAGCTTTCTATTATTAAGCAAACAGGTCTTCCAAATAAGGGCAATTACAGTTATAGCTAGCTCCTAGGCTACTGAGGCACGAACAAATTCAGTCCTGAAGCTCGTCACTCCCAATCCCATATCCAGGAAGCTCAAACTTGACACAGAAATATCTGGTCAGGCTTTGTTGTCACTGTTCCGAAGTAAAACAGAAAACAGCAAGAAGATAAGATAAAAACAATTCAACTAGATGTTTTTAAATGAGAAAAGTGCATTTAGCACACTAGAAGAGAGATTTTTCCATTACATGAGTTTTGAATAGTAATCTGACTCACACTTAACCTTCTAAACACTTTACTAACCCAAATTAACAAAGGCCTTCAAGAACCCAGAAGCACAGTAGGTGACTATGATTACACCTATTTTTACATATATGGAACTGGCAGAAAAGGTTTAAGTGCCAAAGACAGACAAGTGATAGCACAAGGATTAGGACTGAAGAGTTCTTGGCTCCCAGTCTTGTAATTAGACCACTTAGACTCCTAAGAATGTAGCAATACAATTTAGTGGATATTGTTTCCTTTCTGATAGATAAATACACCTACAAGTAGAAGAAAGTACTTTGTGCATTGTATTTAATATATACCCCGGGGTTGCTGTGTTTATAGCATACCTTGTTCTCTCTGTTGATCTTTTTGTTCCATGGAAACAAGGGCAGAGAAATGGGCCTGATCATAGGCTAGCACAAGAGGTGAGCAATGGCACCTGTTAGGTAGAACTTCAAGTGGCAAATAAATTCCTCCAAATGGTATAGGTGCAAACGCTGCAAAGAAAAATGAGATTTTTTTTTTTAAACTATGTCAAAGAACAGACAATAATGTTGGTTCTATTGTATGTAACAATTGTGCTACCACACTTTCAGAGCTCCAGGAGAGTAGCCTAACGTGGAGTAATCAATGCAGAAAACAGTCATAACAACAGGTAACATTTCATCATAAAAATGTTAGGAAATATACTAAGAACAATAATGAAAACACTATGCTCTTACTTACATTTTCCTTGCTCTAATTGTTTACTAGTAAAGATATTAAGGTTTTATAACAAAATCTTGATGACTCTCACACATGTATGCAGATTTGTATCTCCCTGTAATACTTTTAGGTAGAAAGATATTTTCTAATTAGAGAACTATCAGTTCTGCTCATGCCTTGCATTAACAGATTTCTATAAGAAACATTACAAACATGTTTATAGTTCACACACACATCATCACACACATCATATATGTATGAATGTGTATATGTATCTATATATAATAATGATAAGGAAAGATTAAAAAAATTCTATAAGTAGAATTTGAATGGGATGCTGCATCTGTAAGGGCAAAGTTCTTTCCTTTGAAAGATTCTACACTTGTTTATATATAATTGTGAGAAACAGCAAGTTTGGGCAGGAAAATGCAACATGTTTGCTTCTGAGCAATCATTTTTCCTTTTGTTGTGAAAATACGAATCCTTATTGCTGAAATATTTCCAAAACGAGCATAAGGAAAAAGTAAGCCCAAACAACGCACTGTTTTTACTAGAGACCTTCTTTGAAGAGGTCTGCTGTGTCCAGACTTTGGGATGGAGAACAGTATTGGTTTTGAGGCATAAATCTACATTTTAGTGAGTCTATTCAAATTTGACCAAGTTATTAGTCTTTTTGAAAACCTGTACTTTGTACATATACCAGTTAAACTGGGGTAACTTGATCATGCCGGTCCATGAGGCCAGCAGTGAGAAAAACACTGGGATTATGATGACCAAATCAGATTGGGTCAAAGAGAAGAAAATGTGGGGGGAGGGCAATTTGTGATAGGAGAAGTTATGAGGAAATGAAGCAACATGATCGAGTCTGTCAGAGCAGATAGCAATCACAAAACCATTACTTGTAGTTCACAATTTGAATGAAAACTGAAATTACCCCCCAGCATTTTCTGTAGAAGTAAATTTCTGTAAACTCCATCACATGTTTAACATCCCCCTTTAATCAACCCAACACTCCCCTTTAGTTAAGCAACATACTATCATTAATTAGTATTCTATTAGTTCATGGTAAAAAGTGTGAGAGATCAATTTAATCATTCAAGTTCCGCTCAGACAGCTGTCCAGCTGGCTCCACATACGGATCTAACATTTGTGTGCTCACATGTGCAAACGGATAAAACATTCTGGAAACTTGAATGAGAGGCTGCAAAGGAGTTAGTGAAAACAAAAAGCCAAGATATATAGACATGCAAAATTCAATTTTTCACAGTCAGATTAGATTGATTTATGCGGATTTTTAAGGGGCACCAAAATAACACAGCAAAATTAGAACCTTGCTAACCTAGACCAGTAAGAAATGTATTGTGTTCTGTAATTTGGTGGTTATTAGGTTAATAGTAAATATCTAGAATAAACAGATTTTCAGTGAGACTTACATAATTATCCTGTATTTTTCACTTTTATCTAGTAGAAAAGGATTGAGTATCATTCTGCTCTTTCCCCCCCCAAAAACCCCCCAGAAAAAGGCAGCAGCTATCCCATAGACACTCAGGTATGTTACAGCTGGGTCTTTTGTTTGTGATACTTTATGATTGATGCAATTTACACAGGTGCATAAATTTCTAATGAAAAACTCCTACCTTCTCCCCCTGAGTCTCGTAACATTGTGTCTGCTACTACAACAATAGGTCTTCTCAAAATATGGGCTAAGACAAAAACATGGAACTCTTCTAAGCTCTCATACACTGGATCTTCTGAATTATCGACCCTGGAAGACACAGCATTGAAACTTTTTGAACCAACTTGAACCAACCATTGAAACTTCAGTGAGCCAACACATCGCAGCAGCTATTTCTTCTTCCTTATCATTCATATTCCCACTCTTCTGAAACACATATTCCAATTATTGAAATAGGTAACATAAGAAATCAGAAAGAAAAATATATTTTTGTAAATATAATAACAGCAACAGAGAAAATGTTTTCACTTGCAGACTCCACACTAATTTAGTAGTCAGCAAAATTCATTACTTTCTGATACTGTTTGGTAGCCTAATGGGAATAAAAAAGGTCATTCTTAGCCAAGCTCCTGGTGTAAATCTGCTTTTGTCACAAAAATCTAATTTCATCTGACACTCTTGGCACATAGACTCTACAATGAAAGGTAAGTGTTTTTCTAGTTCCTTTAAACAAAATACAGGTTTACCTTGGCAATGTAAGAAACATTGATGTCAGCTGGAGTAGGAGGAATTTAACTTACAAAGTTGTCAACATTTTTTCTTTGATTATTACCAAAACATATTTTTTTAAGATGGGGAGGGATACTTGTGTAAGGAACTGGAAATTCATTTTTCTATTAGATTTTTCCAATGAGATGAATTTCACCTACCTTCAGACATCTAAAATCAGATGTTTAAGCATTTCACCTTGATTGCCTCTACAGATAACAAAAAAGATAGGCACATCTGGATCATCCCTCTCCTCTTAAGCACTTGCCCAAAGATGAGATGAAAATCCTCATTTCTCTTTACAGAATACAGAAGGAATCTAGATCAAGATGTAGTTAGGTGAGACAAGACCAAGCATTTTTGCCAGTGGAGCTTTGTGTTTCAGAAAACACATAGAAAGAATCAATACAAATATCTTACATGGTCGGAGAGCAGAACATAAAATTCAAACAGTAAGACAGCACTATGGAGAAGCCCAAGTGTTTTCTTTACATTGGCCTTCTACAGGTCTGATCCAAATACCACAGGAATTAATGAAAGTCTTTCTGTTCTCTTCATCTAGCTGCAGGAGATACAGAGCACTTCAAAAAGTGGAGAGATAATATTTCATTTTTTGATGAAAATAAATGTTTTATTGAGGAGTATTCCATAGGTCTAAACAGAGTTATTCCTCAACCAGCTTCACAATGAGCAAGTAATTTAAGACAAAGACAAAAAAGTGCTGTTCTTGGAAGGAATTTAAAAAAAAAAAAAAAAAGATCAATGTAAAATATAATTGGAAGACAATTTGAGCACTTGAAGAGTCTTCTGCACTCTGAAGAGTTGTTTCTACCTTTCGAATTGTTGATACTGTTATGGAATATACATCTTGGGAAAAAAATTTTTAGAATTCATTATCCTTACTTGGTGAAAATGCCTTTCAACATTTAGTTCTCCAAAACATGGGTATTACATGGTAATATGCTGACAGTATGGTGTTTTGTGTCAAAACCGTGATAATCAGTCCTAAATTTCAAAGGTGGCCAAAATGAGTAAATTACCTACTGAAAGAATGTGATGAAGATGAGTACATCCGATATGTTTTAACAAAAAAATGAGAGTGAGCTATCCCAGTCCTATCTGGGATGATTTGGGCAGTTTCTGTTCTATTCATAATCTGATGTCTGAAAGGCATAAGCAATGACAGAAGACAAAGAAAACTGACTAACAGGATGTCTATTAGAAAAGATATCTGGTTGGGACAGGAATATCAGGGAAAACTCATGTTAGATTACATAATTACTACTATCTAGAACAACATATAGGTAAGACATTTAGGAAAGCCAAAAACATGTACCAGCACATAGAGCAAGATTTGTAATTTTTTCACATCAGTACTAAAAAGTTAGAAAGCACCGAGGGAACCAGTCCCTGTTAGGTTCCATCTACAGCGTATACATCTATTCTCAATAGTATCAAGTGTCAGAAATTCAAATGTAACAACACAAATCCATAGCATTAAACCACCACGTACATATACAGAGGCAAATCCTTAGAATGCAATTTAGGGACTAAAATCCTTAAATTCCTCAAAATATACCTGTGCTATCCTAATCATCTGAATACATTCTTATTTTCCCAACCTATACAAATTTCAAAAAAACTTCTTCTTCATATATGAATGGACAAACACAATTGCTAAGTTTGTTTTAAATGTTCTCTTTCACTGAAAAGCTTACAAAATGTGCAGTTACATGTTTCATGGCTCAAAACTTTTGACAGCAAGAAGAGAGAAACTATATGTTAAAGAACATGTGCTACTAATTTCTAGGGATATGCTGCTGATCACTAAATGCAATGAGGTACTTTTGTCCCAGAAAAGGTAAGACTGAAAACCTGACTTAAAATTGAGTGACAAAATTGAAAAAAAAAAAAGGTTTTCCAACTAGCATCAGTATGCTTTGAATCAGCCCCACAATCTTTTCAGGAAACGGAATGCCCAGCACCACTGGAAAGGTAACCTATAAAGTAAATTATTTATGAAACAGATCGTTCTTTCATCTGGACTGCAAGAATAATTCTGTTAAATTCCCCACTTCTCTAGCTGAACACTTTCAAGCCCTTCTATGACTTCATAAGCATTTTATAAAATTTTTAGTTTCAATTATCTCCTTTCCTTTTTTCCTAGTTTAACATCATTCATGTCACTATCACCTTTTAAAGCTTTGCCTCTACCTAGAAGACAGAAATAAACACACTAGATGGAAGAAGACTGAAAAATGGTAGGGTTGTGGGAAGCAGACAAAAGACGATAATTCACAGCGGAGTGCCACTTAAAAATATAATACACACGGAGCACAGCTTCTGTAAGACATGACAAATAAAGGTGGGCAACATAACCTAGGCACACTCTTACATGAAGGCAGCGATTGTCCTCTTATTGTTAGGTGTGCAGAGAACTTCAATAATTAACTGTCATTAATTTTCATTATATGTGAAAAATAACTGAACATAACTGTATGGGCACTGCTGTAGAATATGTGGGACAAATACAGTAACCTTCGCACAGGTCTGATGGCATCCAGCCCATCCCTGGAACTTTACATTAGAATCTTTCATCCCAACCTAGAAGCACAGCAGGATGGAAATGATTAACAGGAGGCTGATGCAGTATACAAATTCCCTGATCAAGCAGTGAGACACCTCTCCTTCCCTGTATCCCTCTTCCTGTTACCCAAACTCGTCAGCAAATTTTTCCTGATGTTCAAACAAAATTTCCCATTTTGTAATTTCCTCTCATATTCCTTACTGAATTCTTCTCCATTGTTGGCTGTGACAGCTTTTCAGCATTATGTCACCCTCAGAGTAATTCGTTAGCCAAAAGGAAGTTAGAAGGATCATGTCACTGGCAAGACAATATGCTACAAAGATTTCCAGCTATTTTCTCACATTGGTATTTCCAGACTATCAGTCCTAAAGTTTTTCTTCAAATGCTTTAATTATTCCTCACCTCCTAGTTAATGAGGTTTCTAGAAGTGAAAGGCATATTCCAGATGCAGCTGTATCAGAAGGACCTTTACCCCTTTGGTCAGCTGATGTCAAGCCTGACTGCACATGAAGTCCAAAATTCCACTGGGCTTTTTTTACTCTTCAATATCACATCATCAGGTTGCTTGATTCACTATTTATGATCATATTCACACATTTCAAATCCTTCTCCTCTATTACACATTTGTTTTCCATTGCTCATTTTCACAGAATCACAGAGTGGCTGAGGTTGGAAGGGACCTCTGGAGGTCACCTTGTCCAACGCCCCTGTTCAAGTAGGGCCACCTAGAGCCAGTTGCCCAGGACCGCGTCCAGACAGCTTTTGAATATCTTGAAGGAGGAAGACTTCACAGACTCTCTGGGAAACCTTTTCAATGTTCAATTTTATTTCATCATTGCCAGTAATTCCTGTGGGCTATCTTATATTATTTCAGTGCCACTGCTGAAGATTCAGTATGAATTTTCCTAAAGATTAATGAGAATGAAAAATCATCATTAACAAATATCCATAGCAACCTGCCACATCCTTTGATCCACTTATCATTCCACTTTTTTTGATGGACCTCTATTTATGCTACCTACATGGCCATGAAAATTGTGGACAAAATAATTTTGTCAATATAACATGGAAGCAAAGGAGATTTAAGAAACTGAAATTAATTCCTCTGTTCATGTAAAGGTGATTTTAAAATAATGAAATCCCCATATATAAGAGCATATAAATCTGCATCGCAGAATCCTGCTCAACCAGGGCACTCTGCCTAAATAATTTATCTTGACTGTAAGAACAAATTAACAAAAAAGGAGGGGGGGGGGGGGAATCTCAGTCTGTCCTACAGGACTACTGATACCTCGAATCCAAACAGGGTGGACACCTACTCAGCACTCCAAAGAGACTCTCTCTCCTATGGAAAATCCAATTTGTACTGCGGCCAGTAATGAAAAAAACCCCAAAAAGCTGAAACAGGAAAGTCACCTACCCTGCTGTTCCACCTGGCTATCTGCTGTCTGTTCCTCTCTTTTAAATTCTGAGCAAGATCTGTTTTCACGTCCTTGGATTTCCTTCTAAACAGCTCCCTGTGGTAACCTTGCTTTTTTTCCCCCCATACGTATGCTCCAGATTTTCAGTTTGTCCAACAGACTCATAACAGATATTCCAAGTTTAGATTAAGTTTCAGGATTCACGCAGAGCAAGAGACTAATACCTGCAGACAGTTGAGATGTACTGAAACAACATAATAAGTATCAAGTTCTTCAACCTGGTGATTAGGTACAAGCATGACACCAGATATGACATCATATCTCAATCTGCCACCATTCAATTTCTGAAACCTCTTCTTTCTCTGCTTAAGAATCCCAAAATTAAAACCAGCATACACCACAGCTGCAGCTTACTAGCAAGTACAAATTTCTGCTGTAGGTAGGTGTAGGAACCTATCCATTGATTTCCTTACAGTATTTCAGCAATGAGCTTCTATTCAAACACAAAAAACTGCAAAGTAATGGGGCATTTC